CTGACAAAAGTGCACTGTCTGATTCAGATGTAGTGATTGCTGTAGAAATTGGCTTTAGAATCTTCAGGGACTTCTGCAGTTGAACTGAGAAGACATCCTCATCAAGTACAGTGCTTCGAACACTTCTGGGTACTTTAAGAATCTCAACTACTACTGTTTCTTGAAGAGCCTCTTTGTTTTCTAGAAAATTCTCAAAGGAGATTAATACCCCACCCCATGGGGTTTAACTACAGACTTTTGGTGTCAGTATTTTATTCTTTGTGTCCTGTTTTTCTTGCCTCATCTTAATGACGACAGTGACAATATGAGATTTTGCTTGTTGGAGGACTTCTTTTCCTTTTCTTTGGCTCATTTGTGAGTATCTGGCTTCATGTGATCATTAAAAGATAGTGTGGCACAGACATGGCTGCAAACTTTGGCTCTGTCATTCACTAGCTGTGTAACCATAGGAAAGTCATTGGGGCTCTGTGTGCCTCCTTTTCCTCAGCTTTAAAACAAGCCAGTTAGACTGATCATCTCAAAGGCTCTTCCATCTTTAAAACTTTGTGATCTTAGGAAGCAAGTATCCAACATGAAATGCCCATCCTCTTGTAATACATGGGGTTTTATCCATTTGCAATTCTTGGTGCTATTTTTATGTTACTGGGATTGTCAGTGAGCACAGCAAAAACTTTACTGCTTCCTATCTCCTGTTGGACATATTTTATAAGTGATTTATTTTGCTGTGTAGCTGGGTTTTGGTTTTTTTTTCCTCTTTCTGAGCTTTTGCTTGTTTAAGGAGGTGGCGGTGTTGTCTCTCAGTTTTAGAATTCATCTCCACTCCCATTTGTCCATCTGTCTGTAGTAACGCAAGACCCAGTACCCTGTCGATTCTTCCTTGCAGATTCCATTACCCATTCATATTCTCTCACTAAAAGGGGCTTGCTCAAAGAATGCTGCTGGGCAAATGGTTTGACGGTCTCAGTAATTTGAAAACTTCCTGCAGTATGCGTTTTCCATTATTGACAATGGTGTTCCAGAAGAATATATGGCTCTGGCAAGAGTTTGGTCAATTTTTTCCTGCTCTTCAGGTGTCACCTGTGTACTAATGAAGCTATTGAGAGTGCTTTGTGTGCAGGCCTGCACCTTTGCTGGCCTAGACATCCTGACCGGGCCCCTCTTTGTAGCGATTCTCATGTTCCAGACTCTGGAGCAGCAGAAGCGCAGCTGTGTGCTGAACATCAGGAAGTTTGCATGCTTTTTCCCCATCATGGGTTTCATCGCTCACATTTTAAAAATGTCTAATAACCACCAATCAGGCTGTATCTATGAGTTGGTTTTTGTTTTCTTTGTTCATTTGTTTCTTGTCTTCTTTTGCTTTACATTCCATATAAGAGTGAAAACAGACAATTTTTGTCCTTTTCTGTCTGACTTCACTTAGCATAATACCCTCAAGGTCTACCCATGTTGTCACAAACGGCAATATTTCATCTTTGTGCACGGCTGAGTAGTATTCCCTTGTATGTAAAGCGTATTTTCTTTATCCATTCATCAGTCTATGAACACTTAAGTTGTCTCCAAATCTTGGCTATTGTAAATAATGCTGCAATGAACACAGAAGTGCATATATCTTTTTAAATAGGTGTTTTTGTGTTCTTTGGGTAAATACAGAGACTGAATTATAATACTATACACCTAAAAGTTATATAATGTTATAAACCAATGTTACCTCAATAAAAAAAGCTCACTTTGAGAAAAAGATAAATAGACTGACACTTTGACTATTAAAAAAAAAAAAGCCTAAATAGCACTTCACAGATTCGGTGTTTAAAGTAGAATTTGGAAATGTGTCTTTCAATCAACAATTCTGTAGTGACTTTAAGCATGTAAGTTTCTATAGGCAGTTGTTGGCAGGAGAAAAAGCCAATGGAAATAAACATTGCAGTAAGGTTACCCCCCAGTTAGCTGGAAACACCTTTCCAGTCATCCAGCCTCTGAACCTAAGTATGGTATTATGTGACAAGACCTTAGATTACAAGGAATTCATGTGTGACAGGTTGTAGAAACCATGCAGCTGAAAATCAGAGTTCAGATGCATTTAAATTCCTGTTTATTAAAAAAGAAGCATACTTCTTTTCCTGGCCACTTGGTAGATATCAATATCGCAAGACCAAGAGGAATTGGCTTTCTGTATCTTTGTAATTTCAAAACCTCTATATCCGCTCTAACTCTTCTCTCTCTTGGGCCTTTTTTCACCAATAAATGCCATATTATTAATCTCTCTAGGAATTGATAGATATGGCTGTCATTGTCCACTCCAGATCTACTTCTCTGAAAGGTAGTCAGAAGGAGTAAATCATTTATTGACAATAGAAGTCAATGCAAGAAAACCCACAACAAATCAAACACAGATTCTTTCTGCTATCTCTCTGGGAGTCTGCAGTGGTCTCTTGTCTGACAGTTCTACTCTGTTGTTTATTCTTCAGTTTTAAAATGTAAGATATTAGCTATATTAGATAGGTTAGAGGAAAATCATTCTATTACATGATAAAGCTGAGTCACAATATATGAGCCCCTTACTGTAAATCTTTCATCAACCTATAAAAATTCATAATCCATTGTTCAAACTATCTTTAGAGAAAGGGCAGATTTGAACATTTACATTTGTCCCAGGCTTTACCTCTTCAAAGGAGACCAACACATATAAAACAGTTAAAAAAACGATATAACCCACTCTATTGTTTTCATTGCCTACAAATGCATAGAGTGATAGAAAATTAATCAAAAAGTATTTATTGAGCATCTACCATTTCTCAACTGTGCAAGATAGTGCAGAAGACGGGGCTTTTGGTTTGATTATGATCTGCTTGAGGAAGCCAGCCCTGGCATGGAACAGCAGGGCTGGTGTATTATGAAATATAATGACATTCTAAACCATGGAGCACAGACACTACAGAAGTTTAGGAGAGAGAAACTTCTCTGATGGGGAGAAACTTTTCTGATGGGTAGAAACAGTAGGGATATTAAAGCCCGAGCTAGAAGGAGAAGGAAACTATGCCTAAGAAGACGAAAACAGTATGGCAAAAGCACAGAGGTTTCGCAGCACACAAGCCGATGAACACAGTCACACTCAGCCGGGAGAGGTGTAAATCAGAGCTGAGCGAGCTGGGTGGGGAGGAGAGCCTGGGAGGCTGTGAAAGCCTGGCAGAGTTTAGAGTCAAACTGTAGCCTACAGAGAATCAATGACAGTTTTTTACAAGGGAAGTGATGAGAGCGATGTTCCATGAGGAAAAGCCAAGCATCCACATTTGGGAGAGGACTGAGGGGGAAGAATGTAGAGGCAGGAAATACAAGCAAGAAAAATTTTGTGGTGAACCAAGTGCAGCTCTTAAGAGCTGAGCTATGGAGGTGGTGGAGGAAATGGAGAAGGAACAGATGTGACAGACATTGATAAGAGGAATTGACCACACTTGGTGACTGACTTCAGGTAGAAGGGAGGAAAAAGACCATGTCAAGAAGGGTCCAATATTTTTGGTCTGATGGTCTTCAAGGAGGTTGTTGGTAGAACCGATTATGGGGACGATGAATCAGCTTTTATTCTTGTCAAGTCCGACGTGACAGTGGGATCGTTAATGAAAATGTTCAGCAGGAAGCTAGAAATACAAACACCTGAACTGTATCTCTGTTAGGCTGGGGGTAGGAAAGGCAAATCACTCAGATGTTAAGGTGGGGATGAGGAAACTCACAGGTTTCAAAAAGGAGGAGGTGAGGTCAATTTCAAGGGGCAAGTGGCAAGGACAGAGGGAAGGAGGGAGGAAGGGAGGGGGCAGAGAGAGAGAGAAAGAGGCACTTTGGACTAGCCATTAGGAGGATGAGGATTAGTGCAACTAATGAACAGAAGGTGAACTAGGCCAGATATGCATAGTTTGGTGACTTCCTCTAGCCACACTTTACTTTCCCAGGGTTGGGCAGAGGCACTAGAGTGGGAGAGCGGCACTGGATGAAGATGAGGATAAAGGGGGTCTGGAGAGGATGAACGGGACCCAGAAGACCCAGGAGAGCCTGAAGTTGTCTTTAAGGCATGAAAGTGTGGGAGGGGGAAGAGGGCCAGTTATTGTCATTGGAATATGACAATGCTAAAATGCAAAGGGAGGTGGGGACCCCTTCGTGGTGATGGAGGGGACAGGCAAGGAAGGGAGGCCACTCAGGTGCAGCTGTGTTCCAGAGGAGATGTCTGTAGACCCTGGGTATTTCCCTAACATGGACTCATTTTGCCTTCACTCCAGGACTCTAAGGAGAACCCTGGCTCCCACTCCTCAGGCTCTAGCTAATAGAGGACCCCCAGGACAAATGTCCAGCGGTTGGTGGGGGAGCAGATTTTGGAACTTGATCTGATCCACTTGCACTGTTGGCTTAAAAGCTCCTCATTTGCTTCAGAGATGGTTTTCTCTCATTTAAATGCCACTAACAGCAAAATAGCCCGCTGGCTGGCCCCCTGCTCTCCTCACCTGCCAGGCCCAGCACCTGCAGTAGCACTTGGAGAAGGCAAGAAAGACCCATCAGCCCATGTGGGGGGTAGTAGGGGTGTCCTCCAAGCCTGTAGGAAAGATGGGGTGTTACAGAGGAGAGAGGTGAGCAAGGTCATAGAGGTCCCTTTGGCTACTGGAGAAACTGCAGCTACTGGGAGATGTCTCACTGGGAAGGAGGAATAAAATCAGATTGTCCTCCCTCCCTTCTCCATCTGGCTTTGGGCTACAAAGAGATACCAAGCAAAGGCCAACACGTACACACACATGCACAGAGAAGGACAAAGAGCATACACACAGCTGATCACAGGACAGATAGGTGACAAGCTTGCATGCTTGTAAAGGCACACTCGGACCGGCTCATCACATATACCCCTGAGTGTCTACACACAGTTCTTTCTTCTCTAAGGGTTCTTTTTCCATGGAGAACCTGGTGTGAGTAGAGGCAGCCCTCTCTCTTCCAGGCCTCATGGCTTCCCCTTTGTGTTTTTCCAGGTCGTGACATGGCGAGCACCACTCTGCCTGGTTACCCCCCTCACGTGCCCCCCACTGGCCAGGGAAGCTATCCCACCTCCACCCTGGCAGGAATGGTGCCTGGTAGGTGACAATGGTGCAGCTGCCTAATTTATGTGGGGGTAACTAAATTGTGGGTGAGCTGCTGAGTGGTCTTTAGTCTGAGGCTGGGGGTGGGAGGAGATCCAACATCCCCTCCCCCAAACCACTGCTGTTCTATTCCTCTCTCTCCCCAGAGCTGCAGTTGGTCCCTAACCCTCCTTCCTAAGCCACCTAGAGAGGGAGCTTGCAGAAGTGTCTGCTGTGTACACCCCACTGTCTGTCATGGGCCCTCCGCAAGGCCCACCCACCCAAGCCTATGCCCAGGGAAGCACTCAGCCTCAGCTCCGCCCTCAGTGCCCCAGCCCACCCCCAGCCAGCTGACACTGCTTGGAAGAGCCTGCCCTGGTTTCCATGGAAACTTGGAGCCAAGAACCATTTCCAGGGACATGTCAGTCACTCAAACAAAGCCACCCTGGTCCACACCAACCCACAGGGAAGACCAGTGTTGAGAACCTACCCCACCCCAGAGAGAGGAGGGAGCTGGTCCCTAAGGAAAGAGGAACAGGGGGACAGGCTAAGGCAGGAACCACAGAGGCCGGCTTCAGAGAGAGAAGCTACAGCACGCCCACAGCTCCTCAGAGGAACCCGGTTCTTCTTGCTCCTCAGAGCCCAGGCCATGGCCAGTCTGAGGGCAGCTGGGTTAGGCTGTGTGCACCAGAGAGGCAGAGGCCGCATTTAGGGTCTGGTAGGGCAGCTGGAGCTTGTGCTCTTGCCAGCCCCGCACCTCTGATTGGGAGCCGGACTTGAAGCCAAAGAGAGGTGAAGCTCCTATTTGCATAAACACCAAAAAACTCTTGACTTAAAGGGAGTGAGACTCGCTGAGCCTGCACCCACTCCTGTGGCTGCCTTCTTGGGTGCTCCTTCCCTGAAGCTCAATTTTCATGGGAGGGGGGTGGATAGAAAAGGGGGACTGGCCCCATTCCTGGACTCTCCATCCAGGGACAGCCCCAAAAAGCAGAGTTGGGGGAGGGGCATGGCAAAGAGGGCATTGCTACTGGGTAGGGTAGAATCGGGGCTGAAGGGAGTTAGAGGAGCTGGATAAGGAGATCTGAGAGATGCGGGTGGGGGGTGTCCTAACCAGATGTGGGGTAGGGGGAGTAGAAGTGCTGGGGGCAAGGAGGTTTTTCCAGGAACGTCCCAGCAGTGAGCTGCTGGAGGCTGGAGAAGGTCTTGAAAAGATGGGGGTGAGGGAGGGGGAAGCCTGGAAGGAGGTGGGGATGAGGGGAGCGCAGAGAGCTCATGGTGGCAAGGGGGGAGTCGTTAAACAGAATCTAGTGCTGATGAGGAAATTACACTTGTTTCATTAGCGATGGAGAAGGAGATAGCTCAGTTCCTCTTGGTCACAGTTGAGCTCAGAAGCTCATTATCCTGCTGCACGCATGCTTTCCCTCCTCGTCAATAAACAGGCTTTCCAGTGGCTGCATCCCCCACCCCCACCCCAGCTCCCTCTCCGAGAGGGGCCCCTTCTCCTCTACTTAACCCGCGGTTAGGGATCACTGTAAACAGTCTGGGGTCATCACACAGGAGAAAGGGCGAGGGGGAAACCCGGAGGCCTGGCCTTTCTCCCGCGGAGGGAATGAAGCAGCTTCCGAGGGCTCCCAGCCCACGGAGGGCCTCCGCTTACGGACCGGAGGGCAGCCCACCGGCTCCCTGCCCCCTCCTTCACCTGCTGCGTGGCCCATGAGTGGAATCTCTTCAGGGAAAGGTGGGAGGGGGGCTTTCCCAGCACAGCCCGAACCCCTTTGCTTTGGCACAGTGCTGAGATGCCATTCTTGGGACTTTCTGGGACAAAGTGTCCCGAGGGCCTTTCTTCGCCACCCTCCCCCGCTCCCACCCCGTGGGGCTATGGCTCCCAGAACCAGAGTCTCCACTACAAAGACCCTGTCCCCCAACGCAGCGGGGTGGTCGTGCCTGGACCCAGAACCCCTCCTGCGTGGCCCAGGCGCCTCCACGAGCGAGCCCCAGGCAGATCCCTCCACACTCGTGTGCGAGGCTCGTGGGTGCTTCTGCATCACCCCCCTCCATACACACACACCACCGGCTCTCCCCACGCGGGCTCTGTCGATCGTTCCGCCTTCACCTGGCCCACAGCCTGCAGCAGGCATGCCCTGCCCGCCCCACCTGCACCTTGACCAGGGGAGGCTGCCAGCCTGGCACATCAGGTCCACCTCGGAGTTGCGTGTGTCTGATCCCCACACCCCCACCCTCCCGCAGGGAGCGAGTTCTCCGGCAACCCGTACAGCCACCCCCAGTACACGGCCTACAACGAGGCTTGGAGATTCAGCAACCCCGCCTTACTAAGTGAGTACGCCACCTGGCTGGCCGGCGGCTCAGCGCGTCAGCTCGCCCCTGCTCGCCCCGCTCGCGCTGGCTGCTTCTGGATGCGTCCGACTCCCAGGCACCTGACCTTTGGGTGCCGGCCGGGCAAGGCGTTTAGTGCAGCACTGAGGCCCGGGATCCCCTGAGGACGCCCGCGCCTCCTGCCCTTCCTTCCCCTCTTCTCCCTCCCCGCCGCTGAAAGGCCGTGCGCCACCTCCGCCCTCAGCCCCTCTGGAAGGTCCACAGTCGGGCAGCGGTGGTCGCCGATTGGGTCCCTCTCCCACCCGGTGAATGCAGCTCTCCTCGGGGCAACCAGCTCCCGAAGCCCAGCCAAGGTCTTCCTGCCCGGTCCTGCCATACCCGAGCCCCGGGAGGTCTTTGCTTTTCTTTCCTTTTTTTGTTCTCCTGTTTGTCCTCTCACCCAGCCCATTCTTCTCCTGTGTTAACTTCCAGGTTCCCCTTATTATTATAGTGCCGCCCCCCGGGGCTCCGCCCCTGCCGCTGCTGCCGCTGCCTATGACCGCCACTAGTTACCGCGGGGACCACATCAAGCTTCAGGCCGACAGCTTCGGCCTCCACATCGTCCCCGTCTGACAGCCCACCCCAGAGGGAGGGAGGACCGACTCCACTCGAAGCTTCCTGGCCACCGCCCCAGCCCCACCCCACCCCAGGACACCTGCAGCCCTTCACGTCACCCCATCGAAGGCCCGACAGGACTAGTGGAGCCGCGGGCGGGACCCTCAGGCCCCAGCCCACTGCCCCCAACCCCACCCGCTGCCCCTCCCTGTCTGCCTGAACTTCGAGGTGCAGTGCGTCGAGGAGGACCCGACCCAGCTTGCCCTGGCCTCGCCGAGCCCAACCGGAGCGGACCGGCCACAACTCCGGACTCACGCCGGGCGGCCGCTGTGCGCGGGACACGTTTCTGTGACACACAATCAGCGCCGACTGCAGCGCGGCCCAGCCCCGGAGCAGCCCGACTTGGATGCTCCGGCGCCAGGAGGCCTCGCTGGAGGGACTGGGCAAAAGAAATTAAGAACAAAATGATTTTCTGCAGGAGGAGAAAGAGCCTCCTGCTGAACCCTCGAACCCTCGGGAAAAAGTCCTTACCCCGCGCGCCAGCCGGACTGCCCCCACCTTCCGAGTGGGGTGTGCCCTGCCCCAGAAGGTGGAATGGAATGGGAGCGTGGGGGCTGGGCTCTAGGGACAAAGATTGGGGTCGTCAAGTCTTTCCCAGCTTGGAACCCAAGGCACGCAGGCCCCAGCAGCCCGCACCCACCGAGCCCGACTCTTGGCTCCTCTTCCCTGTTCCGCCAGAACTGCCCAGTGTCCCAGGGCCCAGGCACCTCCTACTAGTGACGAGACTCTCAGCCCCACCTTGCCCCTACCTCAGCGTCTCTGCCATCTGTGACCTCCCAGTCTTCCCTCCTGCCAGTCTTTTTCCCATCCCACGACTCTCTGCATCGCTCCTCCTAGCTCGCCGCCCCGAGGGAGGCTCTCCGGTGCCTGCGGTAGGACCAGTCTCCGTGCGCCCTGTGTACCGGTCTTCCCCAGCAGTTACTTGACGTCCCTCCCCCGACTCAGACTCTCGATCGGCCGGTGGCGGGGGCAGGTTCTGAGCTGGCGTCTGAGCTGCGGGCGGGGTGGAAGTGGGGGGCTGTCCACTCCATCCCCAGCCTCCTCCTCCGGCAGGAACTGAACAGAACCGCAAAAAGTCTACATTTATTTAATATGAATGGTGTTTGCGAAAAGGAAAAAACAACAAAAAACCCAACAGGCTGCTGCTTTGTAGAAAGACGGTGTGTGTCGTGTGAAGGCGAAGCCCTGTGTATATAACCCCGCCCTGTCCGCCCCGCCCCGCCCGGTAGAGTCCCCGACGCCCGCCCGCCCTGCCTGTAGGTTCGCCCGCGCTCTGTGCTGTGAGAGTCGCCGCTCGCTGGGGGGGGAGGGGGGGACACAGCTACACGCCCACTAAAGCACAGCACGTCCTGGGGGGAGGGGGCATTTTTTATGTTACAAAAAAATTACGAAAGAAAAGAAATCTCTATGCAAAACGACGAACATGGTCCTGTGGACTCCTCTCTGTTTTGTTGGCTATCTCTCTGTAATTCCGTGTTTTCGCTCTCTCATTCTCTCTCCCCCGCGCATCTCTCCCCTTTCTCCATCTCTCTCTACTCCTCAGTCTCTGTCTCCGTCTTTGTCTCTGTCCCTTCCTCGGCCTCTCTCCCCAGCCCCGCCCCGGCTGCCTCGCCCTCGCAAACTAGACCCGAGGTGGCAGCTCCACCCCCGGGCTTGTCCCCTCTCGGCTGTGCCCCGTGCGCCCTGGGCCGCCGGCGGCCGGACCGCCCCGCCCCGTAGTTGCTCTCTCGGTAGCGGCGATGCGCCTTGCATGTCTCCTCACCCGTGGATCGTGATGACTCGAAATAACAGAAACAAAGTCAATAAAAGTGAAAATAAATAAATAAAAATCCTTGAACAAATACGAAAAGGCTTGGAGTCCTCGCCCAGATCTCTCTCCCCTTCCAGCCTTTTTATTTGAAAAGGAAAACGAGAAAAGAGAATAGTTTAAGGGAACTGCCGGCGCCTAGCCAGGCTCCAGTGGCCCGAGCGGGACGGCGAGGGCGCCCTGGCTCGAGCTCCCAGACCCTCCCCAGCCCTAGCGAGGCTGGCGGGGCCGGGGCGCCGGAGCCAACGCCCAGCCGACCCCGAGAGAGAGCCCCTGATAGCTCTGGTCTCCTTGGCCACTTTAAGCGCGTCGGTTCGTTTTGATTCTTTTCTTTTCTTTCTCTTTTTTTCTTTTTTTATTGTGCACATGAGAAATAAATAATAATAAATAATAATAAATAAATAATAATAAAATTTTGTATGTCACTCCCCATGGCTCCAGGTTTGTCTCTCCCTGTCTCTGGGACAGGCCTTCCCTCACACTGGTGGACCCCAAATAACCCCCTCAATGATCCTCCCACCGCCACCCCCTCCCACCCCTTTCCCAAGACCCTCTTGGAGGCAGCTGAAAGCAGGCAAAGACCCAGGCCATTGAGCCTTCAGTAGCCACCCTCCACCATCCGCCCCGCCCTTGGGGCAAGGAGCTTTCCAAAACTTCAGAATAACTTCGAGTTACACATCTATACCAGGCCTATGCGGCTGCCCTGCCTCTCCACCCGCACCCAGCTTTAGGGTGTAAACTCTCAAAACGCAACGTCAGAGGCCCCCTCCGGAGGGGGAGGGGTCGGCGAGGTGTTTGCTGTCCTGTCTTCTTTCTCCGCTCCTCTGCGCAGCCGCGATTTTATCCCACGAGTCTTCAAAGAGACCACGGAGACCACGGGCGCTTGTCACAAATTCCCTCGCCGCTCAGTTAGTATAACGCGCGGACAGTGTCCAGTTCCGCGGAGACTCGGGGAGAACCTGCCGGCTCCTGGGACCTCGCGCACCGCCTGTGTTTTGCGGAACCCCGGGCGCTGGCCTGGCGAGCAGCAACTAGCATTGGTGTGGTCTGGGTGGTTCCGGGAAAGGGAGCGTAGGCGTCCGTCGGTCGGTCGGTGCTTCCAGTTCTGTTCGACCGCATGGGTCTAGATGTCCCTGGGTAGGCCTGGGGGTGGGGGAGTGGGATAACTGTTTGGGTTTTCAAACACTCATTACTGTCTTTGAGCCCAGGGGGGCCAGTGAAGGATCTGTGTTTGCCCTGTGTCTTTCTTCCTGTTTGCGGGAAAGGGTGGAGTGACTGTCCAGGATCATCCAGGATTGTCCAGGTGGCATCTGAGATACTTGGAAGGGGACTCCTCTCTATCCCTTCAGCAATCTCTCAACTCCAGCCCTCCCACAAAGGTTGCAACCTTCACCTGGTGTCCACCTTGGAGACTTTCATGTTCTGCCCTGGGGAAACCTTCCCAGCTTAGCTCTTAGCTGGGTCTCCTTCCACTTGGAAGATGATTCTTCTTCTTCTTCTTCTTCTTCTTCTTCTTCTTCTTCTTCTTCATATTGTATTTATTTTTAGAGAGAGGGGAAAAAAGGGAGAAAGAGAGTAAGAGGAACATCGATGTGTGTGACATCAATCGCTTGACTCTTGCACACTCCCAATCAGGGACCTGGCCTGCAGCCCAGGCATGTGCCCTGACCAAGTATCCAACCCCCATCATTTCAGTTTGCAGGAAAAGGCCCAGTCCACTGGACCACACCAGTCAGGACTGGGAGGTTCTTGAAGCACTGAGGTGCCAGAGATGGCTAGAGGGTGGGGGCTGAAAGCAGGACCTGCAGGCAGACTCAGGAGTGACTTTCCCTCTTGGCTGGGGGCAGTGTGTCCCAGACACCTCCTTCCCTCCAGGAACCTAGAGGCCTTTCTTTTCCCAAGCCCACTTGCCCACCTTCACCCTCCTTGACACTTCGGGTGGATATGCAGGATCCCCAACAAAGCATCAAGTGCCTAATCAATCCATCCCCTTTTTCCACCTTCCCTACCTGTGCCTCCTCCCTATTCCCCATCTTGGCAAAAGACTGCCCCACCTTGCACTGTTTGGCACTGCCCCTCTTAACTATCATTCTCCTAGAAGGGCGGTCTTCAAAGTTTTTTTCAATCATTTACCCTACTAGTAAAAAGAATTCTTAACAGGAACTCCCAATATAATGATATACTTATTTAAATATTTACTTACTTATAAATTCCATAAATGTACTACTAAACGAATATATTACAAATTTTATAAGATATAAAATAGTAAAAGGGTGAGATTGGAATACATATACCTAAAAGTTCTAATGTTCTCTAAGATAAATGGATCATCTTGCATCTCACCCCACCCCACCCCCAGGGAAATTATACCCCACTTGGAATGTCCTGCTCAGAACCCATCAAAACCCAGCATGGCAAAACTCCTGACTATTGCCTGATGCCCAGCCAGTAAGTTCCTGGAAGTTGTCAGGGCACTGGGTTGGCCCAGTCAATGCTGCCCTCATAGTATGTAGCAGGCTACCTGGCCCCCAGAAGCCTGGCTTTGCCTCCCGGTGCCCCCAGACTGGGACTGCTGCTTTGCCTAATACAGCAAATTAGGAGTTGGGGCCTCTTACCTGGTTCTCACTAGAACTCCTTAGCTCCTGTTCTGTCTCTGGCCTCCTCATGCCAGGTTGGTCGGTGAGAGTCCCACTGTTGACAATGACTACCCTGCTCAAAAGATTTCATGCTATGTTTCTTCTAGGGAGCTGCTTTCTGCTTGGATCAGCCCGAGGGTCCCCAAAACGTGTTCTATCATCCTTGAGCAGTTGTCTGTTCCAACTGCAGCCCCGTAAGCATACCTCAAGCACAGATAGGGCCTGTTCTCCATAACTCACCCAATTCTGACTCTCCTAGTCCTGTCGCCACCCCACCCTCACAGCTGGGATACATCATGTGTGACAGTTAGAAACAGATGAAGAAAGGTGTCCTGAGTTGGAGGAATAGCAAGAACAAAATCATGGAGGCATCAAAACATACCAGATAGAATGTGGCTGGACACCAGTTGCCTAGGGAGAGGCAGAGGGGATACAGGAGGTGGCAGGAGAT